AGGTCAGCTGGGAGTGCCAGAGACCCACATGGGGTTTTTTGGGTAGGTTTGTGTCCAGCGGCATCCAGATGTCAGTGACAACCCCCCATGTGCAGGTGTGGGCATGTGTGTGTACATGCGTGTACCTGTGTGTACCTGTGTGTACATGCATGTACCTGTGTGTATGTGTGTATACCTGTGTGTACAAGTGTGTACATGCGTGTACCTGTGTGTACATGTGTGTACCTGCGTGTACATGTGTGTACCTGTGTGTACATGTGTGTACCTGTGTGTACATGTGTGTACCTGCGTGTACCTGTGTGTACCTGTGTGTACCTGTGTGTACATGTGTGTACCTGTGTGTACATGTGTGTTATGTGTGTGTACCTGCGTGTACCTGTGTGTACATGCGTGTACATGCATGTACCTGTGTGTACATGTGTGTACCTGTGAGCACTGCACACAGGCCTGCCTGGGCTGGCCGCTGCCGCCCCACAGGGGCTCTGGGCTGGGTAACAGAGCAGTGGGAAAAGCTGAGAGGGGGAGCGTGACACGAGGAGCTGTTTGTTCAATCAATGATTTACCAGATGTGTACACTGTACTAAAGGCTTGTAAACATACTTTAATGGCCAGCTGTAAATCCGGGCAGTAGCAGTGCCAGATTCATGTCCATCAGATGTGTCTCAAGAACAGCAGAGGAAGGGCTCTGAATCACTTTGTTACAGGCTCTGTCAGCTCTGCAATTGTGCATGTAAATCAGAGAACCAGCGTCCTCAGGTCAGGATTATGGGAGTGTCAGGAGAGGTTTTATGACCAGCAGCTTCTCCTTTTCTGGGTTCCCTGCAGTTCCTTCTCTTCCACAGACAGCACCTCCAGAAGGCTGGGTTTCCATCCCAGTGCCCCAGTGCATGGCTGTGTTTTCACTGACTGTGCTGGAAGTCTCTTTTGTTAATCACTGAAGCACAGCGTCATTAGTGAGAAGTGCAGAGTGTACACAAAGAGGAACTTGCCAAATTACTAATAAGCAGAAACTCCATCCATCTTAATGAGACAGGGTTAAGAAAATAGCAACCTAGAATATACACAATGGAGCTTTTCCAAGCTGTTTATTTACTCCTGCTAGAAAGTAGTTCTGAGCTCCATCTCTGGTCCTGCTTGGAGATTGCCCCATGTTTTCCAAACCACAGGCTTCTTACGCTCTTGCAAATCATTAAGCATGAGAAAGATAAATAAATAAGTGGATGGATGGCTCAAAAATTATTAGAGGGGAGAAGGCAAATGGGATTGCTGCAGAGTGAGAGCATGAGGGGGTGTTTCCTCATGGTGGGCAGGTCTCCAGCTGCCTTCCTTTGGGGTGCTCACCAAAGCAGCTGGGGGCCCCCAGGTGCTCAGGCCCCACAGGGCTGCTCTTGGGCTGAGGCTCCCACCACGCCAGCCCAGTGGTGTGCTTTAGAGCTCCCCTGGGACTTGCACCCTGCCCCAGGTTCCTCTGGCAGCCTAGAAGGGGTTTGCACCCACACCGAGGTGCCTGCACACCTGTGCTCCCCAGCCACATTTTTCTTTTGTTGGGTAAGGAGTGACTTGCAGCTCCTTTCACGTGCACGGCTCGGCTGCTGCGGTTTTATTGAACGCCAGCACTTGCTGGATGTTATTCAGGCAAACTTTATATACACCACAGACCCTCTCAGCAGCCTGCACCTGGTCCAGGGCAAAGCTGAGCCTCACGGAGAAGAATGTGCTGCAATGCAGCAAGTTATTACAGGATAAATATTTATAAGCCCCTGTAAACATTTGCCATCGGGTCCCTCCTGGGACTGGGGGCAGACGGTCAGCATGTCAACAATGCTGAAGGCATTAGCTCTTGTAGTCCTTTACATGTTATCTCAGCTAGTAAAGCCATTGTTGATCCTGTATGGTTCCAGCATTTAATGGTGCTAATTTCACACCAACACGAGACATCAGCTGGAATTGTTGCTCCTGGCCCTGCTGCAGGCCAGCTCTCGGTCGAGGTGTCCCCTGCAGCCCCAGGGGCGCTGGGCACCTGGCCAGGGTGCCTGAGTGGGAACCCCCAGTTGCAAAACCTTCCCTTGTCGTGGGAGCTGCATCGGTGCTACTGGAGCCTTGGAGCGATCCGCTGAGAAAGGCAGAAAACAAACACGGCTAAACCAACATCCTCCTCGGGGGCTGACCCCGGCAGGGCTATCAGCCCTGGGGCTGAGGGGGGCTGCTCTAAAGCAAATATTCTCTGGAGGTGCCCAGAGCTGTCCTGCCCCGGGGGTGGCACAGCAGGCTGTCCTGTGGGGACGTGGCGGGTCCTCCCCTGGCGCGCCCCATCCCCTCCCTGGAGGGGCAGCCTGAGCCCCCAGGCCACTTGGCCTCACCGCCCCGTCACTGCTGCCTCTGCTGGGGCTGAGAGGGTGGGAAACTGGGGAAGAAATGCCAGGGCAGGCAAGGCCATGACTCCTCCATGCCCTCAAATGCAGCAGTAAAACAAAGAGCCCTGGGCAACAGTGCCTGTTGCATGGGACTATTTGGGGGCTTCCCTTTGCTGCTCATGCACGAAAGCCAGTCATTTGGCAAAAATCAGCTCAGTTAGCAGGCATTGTTCATAAAGAGCCAGGGCCTGAATGGGCTCAGGGCTAATATATTCTATTATCCCACGCCTGCCTGTTTCCCCGGGGCAGCGTGGAAGGAAAGGCGCATTCCAGCGTCTCAGAGTGTGCCCGGAGCGGGCGGGGAGGGCGGGACAGGCGGGAGGGCACCCCTGCCAGCGGCACGGGGCCACCTGGGCCACCACCCACCCTGCCACCGCTGAGCACCTGCCGCGGGTGGACGTGGATGCTGAGCTGCGGGAGAGGGGGGCGGGCAGAGCCCCTGGTCCTGCGGCTGCCAGGACAAACAATGGAGCCAGGAACAGGCACGGTTAATTGGGCTGGGCTTTTCACAGGGCAGGAGAGGGCTGGGGACAGTCAGAATGGTGCGTGGTGCAAAGCCTCTCGTTATTCAGCAAGAAAATTTTAGCCCCTGTGGGAGAGGCAGCAATAAAGGGCTATAAAGTAAGGTTAAATGATGACATTAGAGACTAGGCAGAGATTTAAGAAGCAGTAATTAAGATTAAAGAGATTGAGATTTAAGAAGCAGTAAAGGCCTACATAATTATGAAGGGAAATGGCTGTGCAGGCTTCACTCAAAAAAGTTCATACCCAGTTCAGAAGGGGTCTGTTGAAAGAGCAGCCCTTCCTGGGCAGCTGCTCTCTAAGAGGTCTTATACTGTGTTTTAAACAATTTAGTGGCCTAGACCAGAGCTGTTGACTTTTTCATTTTGCTTGGCTTTTTCCCCTTCTCCCTTTTTTTTTTTTAAAAGAAAAAATGGTTTGCTGGCAGCTGTATTTGCCGGTCAATTGTATTTCAATTCACAATTCACTCTTGGATTCCCATTCAGGCGCTGCTGCCATGAATGTGGGTATCAGCCACAGAGGAGAGCAGGGAGCCAGCAAAGACCTTCCCTGGGCCGAGTTCAAGAACCGTGCAGGCCCTGAGTGTGGTCGGATTCAGCAGCCAAGGCGTTCTGAGCTGCAGCTTTCCCGCTTGGATGGAGAGCGGTGAACTGTGGCAGGCTCAGCAGCCACTGTCCAGCGTGTTGGGGCTGCAGCCAAGCCCACTGATCAGCGTGGGGTGCTCCAGGGCACATGTCCCTGGAGTGACTGTGACAGGACATTTACCTGCTGCCATGTGGCATTTGCTGCCCTGCAGATAACTGGGACCCTGACCACAGTTTTAGGGCAGTGTTCTTGCTGTTGCCTTTGGAGAGCTCCCCAACTTTCAAACAAGAGCTTCCCAAGTCCCCACCTTGCCTTCCTACCCATGATGTCCCTGTCACACTCCTCAGCCTGGAACAGGACTGTAGCACTGCAAAGTCAAACGCCTGTTGCTGCCAATGTTTCCTGAGCCCAAGCAGTAGGACTGCTCCATCCACCTGCTTATTTCACTCTGCTACAGGCTCCTTACGGCACGGACAGCTCTTGTTAATGCTGAATTCTTCACTTCATTAGTGGTGCAAACTGGCTGCTCTCTTCTGCTGGCCCTCGGGTGAAAGTGGCTCTTTCAGGCTTCCAGGCTTCAGAGCCTCTTCCATTTACCTCTCAATGAGGTGTAGTTCCTGTATTAAATGGCACAAGCTGTTTGAGCCAAAGGCAGCAGCAGGAACAGGAGCTTTGGAGGAGCCCAGAGGAGGGAGCTCAGGAGAGCCACTGGAGAGCTCAGGAGAGCTCCCTGGGACAGGGACGTGTGGGCAGAGCTGCTCAAAGGCCAGAGCCTGTGCACAAGGGCTCACTCCGCTCCTCCTGCCCTGGCTCGCCGGGTCGGGTTCCCAGGTGCGATACCGCTTTAAGGAACAGACCCTCTTTCTCTCTCCTGGTTTTTTTTTCCTTTCCTTCTTTCAAAACACCATACTTTCTGTTGGAATTTGTCCACGGGGAAATGAGGTTTGCGCGGCCCAGTCCAGGTTCACAGAAACATCTGCAACCTTGGAACAGCCGCTCGGGAGCGCCGGGACCTCCCAGAGCCGCCCGGGCACGGCCCCGCCGGGGCTCGGGCCGCCCACCTGAGAAGCGCCGGAGCGGTGCTGCGGGGTGAGCTCGGGGGCTCCCGGTACCCCCGGTCCGTGCTCCCGATTCCCGCTCCCCATTCCCGGTCCGTGCTCCCGATTCCCGCTCCCCATTCCCGGTCCCCATTCCCGGTCCCCATTCCCGGTCCTCGTTCCCGGCTCCGCCGGTCGCGGGGGCGGGGCCAGGCGGGGCGGGGCGGGGCGGGATTGGCTCCCTCGGCCGTGATTGGCCGGGCGGGCGGGCGCGCGGCGGGCGGCGCGGCGCTGATTGGCTACCGAGGGCTCACAAACCCGCGGCGCGGCGCGAGCGCGGCCAGAGCGGGGCCGGGGCGGCGGCGGGAGCGGAGAGGGCGGAGGGACCGGAGGGGCTCAGCGGGGCTCGGCGGGTCAGGGCCCCGGGTAGGGCGCGGCAGAGGGGCCGCCGGGCGAGGGGCGCGGGAAGGGGCCGCCGGGGCGGCCGTCGGGGCCAGCGTCGGCGGTCGCGGCGATGGGCAGCGCGAGGGGGCCCGGCGGGGCCGCCCTGCGGGCGCTGGTGTCGGTGGCCGCCGGGCTGTTGGCCTGCGGCGGGGCCAGCGAGTACGACTATGTCAGCTACCAGTCCGACCTGGGCCCCTACCCCGGCGGGCGCTTCTACGCCAAGCCCCACCAGTGCGTGGCCATCCCCGCCGACCTGCGGCTCTGCCACAGCGTGGGCTACGACAAGATGGTGCTGCCCAACCTGCTGGACCACGAGACCATGGCCGAGGTGAAGCACCAGGCGAGCAGCTGGGTGCCGCTGCTCAACAAGAACTGCCATATGGGTACCCAGGTCTTCCTCTGCTCCCTCTTCGCCCCCGTCTGCCTGGACCGGCCGGTCTACCCCTGCCGCTGGCTCTGTGAGGCTGTCCGTGACTCCTGTGAGCCCGTCATGCAGTTCTTTGGCTTCTTCTGGCCAGAGATGCTCAAGTGTGACCAGTTTCCCCAGGATGATGTCTGCATTGCCATGACAACTCCCAATGCCACCGAGGTCTCCAGGCCCAAAGGTAAGGCATGGCTGCTGCAGCCTGGCTCCTGGCACTCCTGTCTGAGCTGACAGAGCAGGTGTAAGCCCAGGAGGGGCTGCGTGGGACTGAAGGGGGTCTTACGGCAAGAGGAGGCTCACCTGAACTCTGCTTCTTGGCAGCAGCCCTCCTTCAGCCTCCGGGCACTCGCGGCACACTCCTGTCCCAAGGAAGGCAGGATGCCCTGCCAGCTGCTCATCCCTATCCCGGAGCCAAGCCTCGGGACAGGCTTCTTTGGGGCACAGCGGGGTCATTTCTTGGCAGGTCTCTTGCCCCCTGTTCTGATCCCCGCACAGGCAGCGGGGCTGGGCTCCAGCCCTAGTGGACCAGGGTCCGACCCCCCGTCCTCAGGTGCTGCGGTGCCCTGGCTGCAGTTCTGCCCCCCAGCCCAGCTCCTGTAGGGTGCTCTGGGCAGCAGGAGGGTGTGTGGCCCCCACGGCATGAAGTGCTGGCTCACTGCAATCAATAGTGACCCCGCAGTCCTGGGGCAAGAGACTGGCAGCCGGTGGCAGTGGAGACCCAGCCCTGCCCTCGGGTGGGCTGTGGGCTGGAGTGGGGCAAGAGACCTGCCAAGAAATGACCAGGGAAAGGACGTGGTTGGTGTTTGTTTCCACTGCGTGCGGCACGTTCCTGTGGTGCCAGACTGGCTTGTTTGTTTGAGTTGCAGTGAGTCTGGCTTGTCGCTGGAAACTTCACAATAAATAAATATCCTGGTGTCACTTTGGCATTCGCTCTCGGAAACCGGGAAAGGCTGGAAGGAGGGATGTTTGCAGAGGGAGATGGCAGAGGGCTCTAGGGAATTGCCATGCTTTTTGGGGAGCAGAGCCTCATTGAAAGGAATTGGCACTCCTGGTTCCACGGGGGATAGTGCTGGGCACTCCTGGTTCCACGGGGGATAGTGCTGGTGCTTGGGGGGAGCTCGGGGTCGGGGGGGCTGGACTGTTGCTGTGGTTTCTGAACTGTGTCTGGATCTGGTCTGGAGGGACAGCTGCCCTTCGCAGTTACCTGTACAGACAAAGGCTGTGTGTGGTGCTGGGGCAGGGACCGTGCTGCATCATCCTGCCCATCCTGGAGGGGCTTACACTTCAGGGAGCCCTTTTGATACGGGGCAGGAAGGGGTGACACCCTGGGGTGTCCCTAGGAGCCTCGTGGGGACCCACGGAGGGCAGTGAGCACTGAGGCAGTGGCTGTGGGCTGGTAGGCACGGGGGGCACCCAGGCTCAGCACCCAGAGGAGCTCCGTGTCGTGTCTCGCAGTGGCATCCAGAGCCAGGTGGAGTATGAAACCAGTGCCCTTGCCAGGGGCTGAGCTCTGGCTGCTCTCATTCCCAGCAACCCAGCCTCTCCCAGCGCTGATGGCAGTACAACCACACTGGCTTGCCCTTGCTGATGTGATTGCTGGAGGAAGTTCTTTGTTTTCCAGGAAGGCTCTAAAATAATATGTTCTGTGTGAACCTGGACCCTTGGTCAAGACCGCAGCAGTCTTGTGTTGCAGGTACAAAGGTTGCTTTTATTCCCCAGGGACTTGCAGCCAAGCATGCTTCTGGGGTAGCTGGGTCTGAGCTGCCCCTTCCAAGGTCCAAAATAGAGTCTGAGCTGTTTGCAGGTCATTCATTTTACAGACAATGAGCCAAGTCCTGGGAACAGTCTTCTAGATGAGCAGCATCTGCCAAGTTTTCCCATGTGTAGTTTTAACAACTTTCTGATCACCTTTCAGACCTGTCTTGACAGCAGCACTGGGGTGGGACACGACTGCTTTCTACAGCAGAGCAAACTCCAGGTTAGTTGCAGCCACTGCTGCGTTGTGAACCAGCGCTGCCGGCTCTCCTGCATGCCGCAGAGGATCCGGTGGTGGCTCAGTGACAGCCAGGGCCAGACCCCTCACCTTGGCTCTGGCACTGCCACCTCCTGCAGATGCAGAGTCCTCCTGGGTGAGCCGCAGCTCAGCCCTTGTCCCTGTGCTGGTTGGGTCCTTTCCTCTGTCTGGGCTCTGCTGTGGGCTCCCTGTTTGTGTTCTCTGCCAGTGCCAGCTCCTGGAGCCCCTTTGCTTTTGGGCACTGGGGTGTTTCCTGTTGATTCAAAGAGGGTCAGAACCCAGCAGTGTCCCCCTTTTTCTCTCGGCACTAATAAGAACGAGCCCTTTCAGTATTTTTCCCCATTAACACCTTGAAATTGGAATTTGTTTCTGCCTCTCAAAGAGCTGACCTGTTGAATTCCTTTCTCCTTAAGCACAGGCGGTAAAGCCTGCAGGCCCACGGGATGCATCAGGGGAGTTGCAGATTAATACAGCATTACACATTCCTTCTCCTGCCCCTGGAGTAAGCTGGCTCTACAGCCAGGCATTGGAAAATGGTCAGCAGGGAACAAGCGAGCTGGAAGCAGGCTGAGGTTGCTCTTGGAGTCGAGCCGTCCGCTGCAGCAGACGGGCCCCAGGTGACCTGCAGCGGGCCAGGAGGGTGGGCTGGGGACCTCAGCCACAGTGCCTCGGGGGGAGTGGGAGGGCAGGTGGTTTTGGAGCTGTGGCTCCACAGAACAACAGTTTTCCTGGGGCACAGAGCTGGCCAGGCCTCTGACATTTGTGGTCCTGGTCGTGGCGTGATGTGGTGTCCCAGAGCAGAGGACAATTTCCCTCGCATCCTGCCGACATGGGGGAGTGTCCCCTGCATCCTGCCGGCATAGGACAGTGTCCCCTGCATCCTGCCAGTGTGGCACAGTGTCCCCTGCAGTCCTGCCAGTGTGGCATGGGGCAGTGTCCCCTGCATCCTGCTGGCATGGGGCAGTGTCCCCTGCAGTCCTGCTGGCACGTCTGTGCTGTGACAGGGCTGCAGGACGCAGGACTGCAGGATGGGTTGATGTAGAGTGGGTATAAGGAAGAAGTTTTTTTGCAGTGGGGGCAGTAGAATGCTGGCACAGATATGTGGTGGATGCCTTGTCCCTGGAAACATTCAAAGTCAGGTTGGAGAACAAAGCCCGTGTTTGCACCAGGGAACAACGAATCTTATTTTGTGTTGTTAGGTTTTTTTATAATTGGGTGCCTGGAAAGCTCATGGGGTAAATGCAGCGGTGGCTTCCATGGGTGTTTGGATGATGTAGGCTTGGCCAGCCTCCTCATGGGCTGCTGAGGAGGTTGAAGTGCTTTGCATGGCAGGTAATCCCCCCTTGTTCCTGAGGAGTGGTCCCCAGCACAGTGATGAACAGATGGAGTGCTGGGGCTGTCGCCATCCTGTGAGCACCCTCTCTCCCTTGTCATGAGCTCATTAAATGTGCAGCCTGGGAGAAACTATTCTGACTGCTGATTTTAAAAACAAAGCGTTGGGGATGTCATCGTGACCCCAAAGGTTGGCCTCTGTCTGTGTCGCTCTGAGTTAAGATGGTAATAGTGGCGATTGCATGCTGCAGTTTTGGAAGAGGAGGTGACCCAGGTGATGGGCAGATCCCACAGGTCAGGACTGTGGAGTTGACTGTTGCTGCTGTGAAGGCTGACTTGACTTGCACAGAGGGGCGAGCGGAAGGCCGGTTGCTCTGCATGTGTGATTAATAAAGCTGTGGTGCATGTCCCCAGGAATTAGCATTTGGCACAGAACAGATTTAGCGGTGGTGAGAGGGGAAGAACAAGCCACAGAAAACAAATGTCTCGCCTGAAGCCCTGTGGGGCTTCTGTGGCCGAGGAGACACGGCTCTGTGGTCGTGGCCGTGCCCCCTCGCCAGGCTCTGTGCCCTTTTCTGGAACACCTCTCTGCTCTCTCGGTCCAGCAGTGCTCTGGGTTTGCTGGCCTGGCTGAGGGCTGGGAGGCTGGGAGTGCTCTGTCTGCACGCAGGGATGCAGATGTTTTGCTGCAGCGTTGTCCCTGAGAGTAACTCCCTTGTGTGGGAAGAGCCCTCCGTCCTGCTGGACCGGGAACAAGCAGCATCTCCCGGCTCCATAAATTCATCTGCCAGTAGCGCAAATCTGCGTCTGTGCTGCTGGGTGGTCTCTGCTCTGGCTGCAGACGGGAACCTGGAAACAGATCCTTATTCTCTGGGTGCAGTGAGCTTTCCTCCCAGGACAGATCCCAGTGGAACCTCCTGGCTGGCGTTTCCCAAGAGGCGGGTGCTGGTGAGCAGAGCCAGCTCTGCTGCTCTGCAGCCATGAGGCTGCACTGGGCTCCAAACCAGAGCGAAGATGACCCTGCTCTGGGACACGGTGGGAGGGAGGGCAGTGAAGGGCTTGCTGAGTGCTGCCCTACCCAGGCAGCCTGCAGGGTGGTCTCCAGCACCCAGGGGAACACTGTGCTGAACTGGGCTGTCCCAGTGCTGAACCCTCCTGCCCGGCACTGGGGTGGCCCCTGGGTGTGTGAGCCATCCCTGGACAGCGTCCTGTCCTCCTGCTGTGCTGGGGCTGGGGCACCGTGTGCTCACCTTGGCATGCCATGGGGATGGAATGTCAGCAGGCTGTGGGCCATGCCCTGCAGCCATTGGCTCCCCTCAGCTGAGTGCCTGGTCCTGAAAACTCTTCTCCCTGCCAGGGCTGTCCTCCTGCTCTTGGCAGCTGCCTGCCCCTGCCTGTGCCTGGCCTTGGGGCCGCTGACAGCGTTGGAGTGGGGTTGGCAGGAGGCTGCCCGTGGCCAGCACTGCCCTGTGATCTGGTGGATGGCTGCTGGCCCCAGGCAGGGTGCTGTCCCCCAGAGCTGGGAACCTGGGCAGGGTGCCTGGGCACGTGCCCCCCTCGAGGGCAGCAGTCTGGCAGTGTGGGCAGCCTGGCTCTTCGGTGCTTCTCGAGCTGGCTTTTCACTACCTCTCTCCTCGCTTCTCTTCTCTTGCCAGGAACGACTGTGTGTCCCCCTTGTGACAACGAGATGAAGTCCGAGGCCATTGTGGAGCACCTGTGTGCCAGCGAGTTCGGTGAGAAGGGGCACGGTGGGCATGGGGTGTGTGGGGCCAGCGTGGCTCCTGTGCTGGGTGGGGACCGACTGCAGCTCTGCGGGGACAGTGGCGGTGTGGCCATGGTCTGTCCCCGGGGCCATCGCGAGTGCCTCTAGATGTCAGTGTGGGTGCGTGGAGGAGGGCGCTGCCACGGGCCGGGCTGGGCTGGATGTGTGCGGGATGTGCCAGGCTGCCCACCCCGAGCGCTCGGGGACAGGGACAGCGGGTCCCGAGGCAGTGCCTGCGCACGGCGTGGCCCCAGCGGCAGTGCTGGGCATCTCCTGCTCATCCTGGGGAAATGTGGGAGACCCAGAGCCAGGTGTGTTGGTCTGGGGCCGGGGATGGCGCAGAAGTGGCAGTGCTGGTTCTTTGGGGAGCCCAGGGGGGTTGTAACTTAACCCTGGCTGTTCCCAAGCTCTTGTGTGCTTGCAGGAATAATGCGTAGCGTGGACCCTTATTCTGCCTGCAAGCACAAAGGAGAAAATCGGCCTCCTTTTCCCCCAGGTTGCTGTCTGCTGTAACAGCAGATAACAGTACTGCTGTTATTTCTTTTTAACAGTTATGCTGCTCTTGTCAAATCTAGGCGTAAAACCCCAAAGCCACTCCTTGTCTAGCTAGGGCCAAGCTGTGAGCTTAAAAATGCAGAGCTACTTGAAAGCTGTGTCCTAAATATATTGTGAGTGAGTGAGTGAGTCAGACAATCAGAGGTAAACTGAACTCGGTTTTGAAAAAAAGATTATCACAGGGAAAAATATTAGCTTTCTCAGATCAAACCCAGAATTAACTGGTTTTGACATCCTTGCTGGTGTATGTAGCGTTCTCGGAAGGTTATTAGAGGCATATTGAACAAGGTGTGCATTCCTGGGGGATTAACACTTGAATGTGCCCTGTGCCAGAGTGTGCTATGCAAACCCAAACCTGCTCTGCATGCTGGCGTGTTACCCTTTCTGCTGGAAATGAATTCTCGACTCTCCTGCAGATTTGGTATGCCAGAAGTCCTAAGTTCAGCTCAGACTTTCTAAGAGGGAAAAGCACCACCAGGAACACCCATGTAATAGTTTCCCAGGAATGTGCATACATGGCTGGTCAGGTAATGGAAGCAGACATGCAGTGTGCAGCCTGGCTGGGCAGCAGGAGATGGGGTGAGCAACTGGCGGAAGAGGCATCGGCTTCAGGAAGTTTTCCCAAAGCACAATGCGTGGCCCTTGGGTCTTTGTTTAGTCTTGGGCCTTTGCTGTCATGGGGTGATTTCTCAAGGAGAGCTGTTTATCTGGCACTAAAATAAACTCCCGACCCTTCAGACTGAGGTTTCTCATGCACATCCACCAAGGTAAACACTGGCAGCTGACAGGTTACAGATCCTCATCAAAGCCAGACATGTACAATAAATGTTTAAACTAACATGTGCTGCACGGGGCAGCTGTCGGTGTGTTCTGCACCCATTCCCACTGTAATTGTTACTGTGGATTTCTCTGACATCCCAGGAGCTCGTTACAGACAAGAGGTGAGGAGCACTTTGCCCACCACAGGTATGTGGCTGTGCCAGGGTAGGAGGTGGCTCTGTGGCAGCCCTGGAAGTGATCTTGAGGACAGCACAGGAAGAGCTGCAGCCAGCTGTGAACACAGGAAGAAAAGCCAGAAGAGGGTCTTGGACAAGGCACTGGGGCTCAGAGGGATGCCAGGGGACTTCCAGCCTTGTGGTCCAGCAGAACTCTGGGTTTGCCTTCGTTTGAGCAGTGGTGAACTCTGGGCTGCAGGTTTGAGGTAGCTCGGCAGCTCCTCCGAGAGCAGGACAGCTCCCGGTGGGGTGTCAGCGAGGGGTGCCAGGCCCCTGGCCTGGGCACAGAGCAGCGCAGAGGGCAGGGGCGGGTGCTGTAACTGCAGTGTAGATTTTGGTGCAGGGCTGGTGTGCTGGGGCAGCGATGGATGCAGGAGGAAGCGTGAGATCGGCCTCCCGTGCCCCCACTGTCCCTCCCCCGGCTGCCCTGGGCTGCAGCCAGCGCTTGTTTCTTACTCCTGGAGTTCATTCCATGCTCTGTTTCTCTTAGTGATTTTATTTATTGTTTCTGCCCTTTCTCTGGGGTCTGAGGGGATCCTGCTGAACGGGCTCTGTGGCACTGGGGACTGCAGAACAATCAATACACGCTGTTTATTTTCTCCCGGTGACTGACAGCTCCTTGCCGGCAGTCTTCTCCTGTTACAGCCCTAATGTGTCTCCTGGCAGGTTTCCTCCTTCTCAGTGATTTCTAAAGGAAGGAAAAATGAGGCTGAAGGAACAGCGGAGCTTTCCCTTCTCTCACATTTCCTTTCCTGCCCACGAGGTGCTGGAGTGGGGCCCGTGCAGGCAGGAGAACACCAGAGGCAGCGTCCTGATGGCAGCTGCTGTGGCAAGGGGGGCAGGGGGTGCCGGTGCTGGTGCTGCAGCCGATGCCAAGGCAGCTGCTGGACTGGAAAGGCGGCACATGCTTGTGCTGTGGGCAGCCCTCTGGGTCTCTTCCTGGGGTCAGCTCCCAGCTGAAGATTTATTGTGTCCAAGCAAACACAGCCTGGGGTCTCCGAGGCGATTCTGGCCCTTCTCCTGCTCGGCGCTGAGGCGGATTCGGTGCAGCCCGGGGAGCAGAAAGGCCAGGGCTCCCAGAGAGGGAGCTGTTTGCTTTGGCAGCTCGTCTGGGGCCGGGAGCCAAGATGGATCTGTCCCGCTCGAGCCTTTTGCCCGCCGCAGGGGCGTTCCCAGGGCCGGGGGGATGCCAGAGCTGCTGCAGTGTGAGCTGCACCGGGGTGTCCCTGCCAAACCCCGTGTTTTGGGAAAGCTGCAAGCCAGGGGCTGCCTCCCGCTGTGTGATGGGCACTGGGAGTGAATGTGCCCGCGGGTGCTGCTGTTCTGGCGTGCGTGGGACGTGCCAGAGCTGCGTGTCCGGCCCTGCCAAGGGAACACGGCTTTGATGCCCGGGAGCCTCACCTGGAACATGGGTTGGAGCCTGGGGAATGGGGCCCAATTTGGGGAGCAATGGGGGTTGGGGGGGCCAGGTCACTGAAGGGAGGGTGAGGCTGAGCAGAGGTTATAATGCTCACATGATTGCTCAGCCTCCAGCACTGCAGGCAGCTGAAGCTTGGTGGTCCCTGAGCCAGGTTGTATTTATCTGGGTAGCACTGCAGGCTGTTACTGGTGACAAGGACATCGCTGCTGGGAAGAGCAGAGTCTGACACAAACTATTTGCGCCCCTGATCAGCCTCCTCCTTCATCCCCCTTGGCGTTCTCCCATCTTGGCTCTGTGTGCTGCTCTGCACGAGCAAGGTTTGGACGAGGTTTTGGTTCACATCTGGATTTATGGTTCCCCTGGGCAGCTCCCATGAACCTGCATGGCTGGCTCCCGGGCTGCAGTGCGCAGGGAAGGGAGCAGCTGCGAGCTCCCACGGCACAGGATTACCAGGCCCTCTTTGTCTTCCCTGGACCACGATACTTGGAGTAGGGCAGCTCCTCCACCAGCTGCCAGGTCCTTCCTCTAGCAACAAGGATCGAGCTTGCAGTGATCACAGCGAGGCAGTCTGCAAACACAGCCATTTCACAGAATTCTCTTATTGTGCCATTATTATGGTGTTTTACATCCTCCTGCACTGGCCACTCCTGTGCTTAGTGCCAGGGCTCCAGGTCAGCACGGATAAAGAAACAGGCTGGCACTGAGGGGTGTTGCTGCTGCTGCCCAGTTAATGTCATGGAGTTTGGTGCTGCTCGAAAACTACTCGCTTCATTTTCCAGGTTTGTTGCAAACTGATCTGGTTCAGCATCTTTAGCTCCTTAGGTTGGAATCTCTTTAGCTCCTTAAACATCCTGAGTTTGGAAAGCAGATGGAGTGAAAATTTCCCTTAGGTTTACAGTCCTGGATTACTTTCTTGTACAGTAACTGTAACACGGCAGGGCTCTTGGCAAACCCAGCAGGGGTTTTTGGCACAGGGGCCGTTGCCTCTGTTGCCAGGGCAGTGGATGGGAGCAGAGGGTGATATCTGTGCTGCCTGCTCGGGGTTTGTCAGCGCTGCCCTGCTGCCATCCCCTTCTGGAGGGGTGAGCAGCGCTGCCTTCCAGGAAGCCACACATGTTTGCTGCTGCATGTTCCAGCAGAGCAGGACTTCCAGGAACGATGCTGCAGAGCCAGAGGCTCCTGTGGGCTGCCTGCACCCGCCCTCGGACTCAAATGAGAAGGGACAGCAGCCAATTAATCACCTCTCTGCGCACTAGTTATCTGCAGCTCTGAAGTAAACTCCCAAACGATGGAAATGTGTTAGTAATTTTTGGCCATATGTGCTTTTCCCCGAAAAGGAGGCGAAGCCAAATGGCACAGACGTGCATCTTTAATGTACAACACATTTTCATCATTTTTACCATGTATGCAAAATTCTTCTTCGTGGTCAGGCAAAGGAACATTAATTTATTTTTATTTTTTGGGGGGTTGGGGTTGACTTGGAAGAACATTGAACCCAAAGAGGAGGGTATTTTCCATGGAAGTTGTGTCAGACCAACTCCCCCTCTCCTGGGGAAGGTGCAAGCACGTGTCTGTTCTGGGCCCCTAGGCATGTCTGTGTGACTGGGTCTCCTCAGCTCCATGCAGAGACCTCCAGTGCCCCCTCACTCACCCCCAGCCTCACTTAGCAAAGGCTCTGTGCTGGCGAAGGCTGCTCAGGAGTTGTTTTGTTTTTCCCCTCTCTCTGGCTTGTTTTGCAGCTCTTAAGATGACCATAAAGGAAGTGAAGAAGGAGAATGGGGACAAGATGATCATCCCGCGGAAGAGGAAGGCGCTGAAGCTGGGGCCCATCCGCAAGAAGAACCTGAAGAAGCTGGTGCTGTTCCTGAAAAACGGGGCAGACTGTCCCTGCCATCAGCTGGACAACCTGAGCCACTACTTCCTCATCATGGGCCGTCAGGTGAAGACCCAGTACCTGCTGACAGCCATCTACAAGTGGGACAAGAAGAACAAGGAGTTCAAGAAGTTCATGAAGAAGATGAAGTCTCCCGACTGCCCGACGTTTCCGTCCGTTTTCAAGTGATGGGTGGGCGGCGGGAGAGCCGCTGCCCTGGCCTGTGCCACCGGGCACTCTGCAGCAGGGGTGCTGGAGCCAAGCCCTTCTGCTGCTCCATCCTGCTCCTCAGAGCTCCCTCACTGACCCCAGCCCTCCCACATCCCCGCTGCCGGTGTTTGCCTGATGGCCCGGGCGTGCGACGTGCGGGCACCGAACAGTCTGTCCACGGTATCTAAAGACCTGTTACCCCACAGATACAGCCACTGAAACAGCAGCTGGCAGGTAAAGAGGGCAAGCAGAGGGGTGTGAGGTGATGTCCAGAGGTTACACACCTGCAGAAAGGACCCTTGTGACCGTGTCACTCCTGTCTTCGTGGCTACAGGATTCACCCTGAATTCCTGTACGAAGCAGAGCCAGCTGATTAGACAGACATCCCATCCTCACAATCCCACAACCTCTGATAAAACCTCCTGATAGCTAATTGCCCTCACTGTAAAAAGATCCTGTTATAGTCTAAACCTGCTTTGTCTAAACCTTAACCCCAGGTCCTCGTGGTGCCTTGATGGGCTGGAGCCCTCCCTCACCAGCATCTCTTGCAGTGTCTCACCGGGTGCCTGCCCTGGCCTCTGCCACGCCGTGCCCAGCACTGAGCTGCTCCCTGGCAGCCCTGCAGTTGGTACACTGACTGTGGGCCGGGGGCAGAGGGGGCTCTGTGCCTCTACCTGTGCCTTCAGCCTCCCGTGGGCCCCAGCAGGTCCAGCTGAGCTGCCCTGCCCTCAGCCTGGCGGGGCAGTGCCCTGTGCAGGTGGCCGGCGCTGCTGGTGCCCATTTTGGCCCCTGCAAAGGTTGCCCTGCTGGCCCAGCTGGGGTTCCAGCTGGAGAGAGCTCAGGGCCAGCTCCCCCAGCTTGTGTCACTCCCTCACTTTAGCAGTGATGTTTTGATAGCTCCTTCAGGCTGCTGGCGGAGGACCAGAGTGCAGGAGGCTGAGGACTCGTCCCCACGGAGCGCTGCAGGGAACGCATCGTCTGTGCCTCTCCCTCTTTGCTGTCTCTCTGGGACCCATCAGCCTGGGTTTTGTCTGTTTGATCTGTGACAACTTGGCTTTGTATCATTCTGCATTTTTTTTCCCTAATCAGAATGTTGTGTTTGTATGATTTCAAATAGTTTATGAAAGACAAAGAATATCTCATCCAAGTGATTACATTTATCGACCAAACTGAAATGCATTATTCTGTTAATTGGACAAGCTCTCTTTTCCATGGACCCATATCATTCCACATTCATCGTCCTTCCAGCTTCCATTCAGTATTCTCATCCATCATCAGTACTCTAAGAGAATGAATATCTGAGATCTGAGATAATCCTGTTGTATCATGGTTAAATGAAATAACAAATCCTCATTTTTGAGGTTTGAACCAAGCTCACTCAAAGCTGGTAAATTAATTATTCCTTAGCTCAGGAGTGCTGTCTATTCCCCATGTGGGAACAGAGCTGTGGACTTGGTTGTAGAAGAATTCCACGAAGAAGCCAAGCACTCTGAGGAGTGATGTTTCACAGCTAACAGAGAGATGGATTTAGGACATGAACTTTGTAGAAAGTCCCACTAGGTTGTCTTAGACCACCATTTGTAGTAGTGTTGTTTCTTCATTGCAAAATTAATCATTGTAGATAATGTGCTTTTATCAGTGAAGTAAAGAAATAAATAAACAAACCACAGGCTTTAACATCACAGATTGATGAGGTGAGTGATGGAGAGGGCTGACCAATCCAGCTGGGTGGGAAGTGGAGTGGGGACATGGTGAGCTGAAAGGCTGGTTATCTGTGAGTGCCCACAGCACCCGTGGAAGCCTCGCAGGGACCGGGGCAGGGACCCTCCATCTCCTCTGGCTCACCTTGCTGAGCACAGAGCAGCAGAGGGGCTGGCCTGGAGGCTGTCAGCAGTCCCAGGGCATTGGAGGGGGCTGCCCAGGGAAGTGGTGGAGTCACCACCCCTGGAAGCATTCCAGAAATGACTGGATGTGGCACTTTGTGCCGCTTTAGTTGATGTGGTGGTGTTCAGTCCAAGGTTGGACTCAATGACCTGGGAGGTCTGTTCTGCCCCAGTGACTCCATGATTCCCTGCTGCCTGCGTGCAGCAGGTGTAGCTCGTTGCAGGGAGAGCAGGTGCCCTTCCTGGGAACCCCCTGCTGCTCTGGCCAGTCCTGGCTGCAGCTCACAGGTTGTTTGAATCAAAGTGATTTTTTACCCACCTGTGGGGTGAGGCACGGTGAGGTTTGGGGAGGTGCTGCAGTCCCAGTTGGGTCCCTGGTGCAGGGGGAGGTTTCAGAGCTCGGGGGAAGCAACAAGTTCTTTCTGCAGTGCATTTGGCCAGAGACATCAGCAACGCTGCCACCACGGGAGAGGTAAGGCCAGTGCTGTGGGGCTGCTCTTGGGGTCTCCTTGTCCCAGCTCAGAGCTGGTGCCTGGGGCGGTTTGGGCTCTGCTTTGTGCATCCCTGCATTTCACTGCTGCGTGGTCTGTGATTGCTCGACAAAGTGTGAGCATCAGGTAGATTTGGAGGGATTCAGGAAGCCAGGCAATGTGTTTGCTGAATATTTACAAACCCCGTTCCTTTACTGACTTCTTGTAACTGACAGCTGTTGAAGTGTTTTTGTGTCATGTGAAAAGTGAGACTCACAGCCAACTGCTGCATTTGGGGGCATTGGCTGCCTTTAGGTTTCCTGGACAACCAGTGTTGCTCTCTGACAAGAATAGTCTACTGAAACCTGAAATGGTCTAAGTGTAAACTAAGGAGAAAGCACCCGAGATCCTGGAGTTGTGCTCATGCTGGATCATGTGGAGCAAGCAGACTTTTGCTGAAATGAGAAAGCATGAGAGGCTCCCTAAATCAGACACCTCCTGTCTGCTGGTGTAGTGCTCCCTGGAGCAGAGAGATGTGTGCTTGTGCAGTTTATGGGTACATTTTACATTTTAAAATGTCAGATGCTGATTGTTGTAATGAGTTCCAGTTTAAGTTACAAGCATTTGTGTAAATGCTCAGTTTAAGACATGTCATGCTGGGGGACAACTTCAGTTTTGGCCTGCTGAGGGCTGTGAGGTGTCCAAGGGACAGGGACGTGCCACCACTGGGCTGCTCACTCTTGCTATCTGCCTGGGCTTATCTGAAGCAAGAATCTTAAATCCTAAAATAAAATATCATCCTTTTGTGACTCAGTTTATCCTCCCAATAATGTTTATCTTCTTTGCTCCAGCATTCCTTCTGTCAAGTACCGTCTGTTAATTGAGTTTCTGGCCTCCAGTTGTAGTTCAGTTATAAACAAATACAGTTTTCTTTCATGCTGTACAAAAAGTCATCTTCCATCCCTCAATTAATTTTTCACATTGCTGTCAGTCTGCGTTCTGCTTTGACCTTCCCCAAAGCCACAGTGAAACCCTCCTTCCACCCTGCCCAACGCCAGCAGCACTGCAGAGAAAATGCTCCGCTGTGTTTCAGGGGCTGCTCCTGCTTTCTCCCTGCACCGTGCTGGATGACCCTTAAAAAGGACACACACACAGACGTAATTAAAGCCACCCTCCACCCCAAGGCCAGAGCTGTGTTTGCCAACCGCTGTTCCCTGGCTCACAGGCTCCTTTTCCCATCCCAGCTGAGCTCCGCACGCCGCAGCGGCACCGCCGTGGAGAACAGGCTCCCTCAGACCCGGGAGGGAGAAACGTCCTGCAGTGTCTTCAGCAAGTGCTTTGAAAATCCCTGTTTTGCAAAGGAACAGACTTTTTTTATTACTGTTTCTTCCCCCGTAATCCCATCTGAGCCTCTGAGCGTGCTGCCTGTTGGATGAGTTGCTCCCTTTGGGCACTCTGGAGGTGTCTGAGCCATGCTCGAATGTCCTCCTTGGAAGGGGAGTGGGGCAAGCTGGCGGCTCCTCTGCTCCTGGGAGCTTCTCATTGCAGACAGAGCCACGTGCAGGGTCCAGGAGCTGTGCAGCACGTGGCTTCCCGAAGCAAAGCCCCGTCCTGGAGAGCCTTGCGGGAGGAAGCGCAGATCAACCTGTCAGGGTGGCCGTCTGCGCCACGGTGGCCTCGCAACCTTTGGAAAATGAGGGCTTTGTTTCAAGAACTTCCCATCAGAGGCTGGAATCTCCTCTGGGGCGGCAGCCTGCCACAAGAATGCTGCCTGCGTGGCGGGAGCGGGTCTGCTGCGCCCCTGCCTTTGGCGCGGGGTCTGCCAGCGCCGGGGGAGCCCTGGCCCCGTCCCCTCCTGGCACATCAGGGTGATGAATCTGTCTCCACTCGCCAGGGCGAGGGCACGGGTGTGCCGCGGCACAGCAGGCTCCTCTCACAGCCTGCCAAGATCCCGAGAGCCACGAGCAGGCAGCAAACAGTCCCTCTTTTCTGCAGAAGTGTGCTCAGATGGGGAGTTCGCTGCTGTCTGAAGTTTTTCCTTTAGAGACAACCAGGAGGTGTTTGCCGAGCCATTGCTGTGCAGAATGAGAGGAGGGAAGCCAGGACGTGGCTGGAAGGAGCCATACCTGATACAGTCAGCACTGCAGGCTTTGGGGTCCAGCTCTCTGCTCCCATTCCTGAGGTGTGGAAAGAACAGCTCTCTCTGAGATTCCATGGGGCTGCCACCAAAACTGTTCTGCTTTTTCTTTAGCTTAGGTTGGGTCAGGCTGTGCTATTGGCAGCCTCTGCCTCAGCACTTCACTGCCTCAATCTGACTATCTTCAAACTCTTGAGTTATTAATGTGGCTGAGAGGTTAATTTACTGGGAGGTGTAATGTTGTATATGAATAAATTATGGCCCCAGAAGGATGGTAGAGCGGGAGTATCTCTGCTGTTACTTGGAAAGAAATGAGGAGATCAGGGCATTTGCCTTGGGCAGGGTATGAACGCCTGCACGGCCTCTTGTGTGTTCAGAACTACATTAAACCCCACAAATAACAAACTGCAGCCCCTTGAGGCAAATGTGGCACCTTTAAATCAGTCATCCTCACGTGGGGGTGATCACACCCAGCCCAGTCTCCTCAGCTACTGTACAGCAAGGGTAACCACAGCTTTGGAGGAGGCTGAGCTGCTGGGGATGGCCTTGTTGGCCTGACCGAGCTGATGGTGCTGGCTGGCACATTCAGGTTTGTCTGTTAAATGGTCTTGGCTGGCATGTTCAGGTTCTGTTCAACGTCTGTTCAATGGTCTTTGACAAACATTTCGCCTGATACTGAGATTTTATTGAAGTGCCCCTCCTGGATTAGCTCTTGCCGAGAGCTGAGCCATCACTGTGGGTGATGGTTTGATGGTTAAACACTGTCCTGCACAGCTGAATCTTTGCAGCCCTGACCGCCTGCTCCAGAGTGTTTGCGATTTCTTCACCATTTCACAGTCGTTCCTCTCGCTCGCCCTGAATGTTTATTTAATAATCCTGGAAGACCTTTTAAGCTTCCTGGGTTTAATGTTTGCTAAACACCCTGTCACTTCCACTTGTATTGATAATTCCCGGCCCCGTGCTCTGCCCTGAAGCCACGCCGGGGGACGGGACAGCTCCACACGAACCCAGACCTCAAAAGCTGCTGCTGCCCCGGCGGGGGGGGCCGTGGGAGCTGCGCTGGGGGCTCCTCAGCTGGATCATCTCGCCTTGCATTACCTCAGCCCCTGCTCCCCCCGGGCCCTGGCAGTATTAGTTTCACAAATTCATTTTCCTTCACAAAAGCTTTTGGTTACTTTGGGATTAGGGACTGTTTAGAGTTCATTGTTTTCCCGGGCTGCCTTGTTTTGCTGTAATGCTGAGATGCCTGGGCTGCAGGAACCTAATCCCTCTCCTCCTCCAGCAGCCCAGCTCTGTGAAAATCCGTTCTCTGCTTTAGTGCAAATTGTTGATGGGAGATAGCAGCGAGTCTTTCTGCTTCCATTTAGCGTGTCAGCAGAGAAAGACATCTGCTTGCAATTATGGGCATGGCCTTGCTGAAGGATTGGCCTGGTAGATTTTTATAAGATAATAGGAAATCTTTATCAATTCATAATTCCTGGTGTCAAGGAAAGGAATATGTTTCATTTAAAATATTCATCTTTTATTTTACAAAATTATGGGCTAAACCATGAGATTGATATCAAGGGAAAGAGCCGTGTGCTCTCTGTGAAGAGCAGGTCCCCTGTTTCCCACGTGAAAACCTCTGAGCAGGGGAGGGCCAGTCTGGGGAGCTCTGCTGCTGGTCCCTCTGCCACGTGCCCAGGGAGGCAAATCCTTTTGGAAATGATTTGCTGCTGACTCTACAGCGTGCTCTGAAATAGAAAAATTGTCCCCAGCACAATCCCCAAAGCACTGGAATCTCTTGGACGGGGCAAGTGGCTGCAGAGGAGCTGCTGTGCACCAGCACCTCCTGAGCTGGGGGGGAGACCCTGTGGCATCCTGGCATGTCCCCAGCAGCTACAGGAATAAGCTCGGGATCAAAACACTCTGTTGTCACTTTTCCCACCCCTAGAATAGCTGGTGCTGTGGAAGTGCTGGCTGCCTGCCCCGGGAGGGCAGCTCAGGGGGCCTGGGGACACACTGCGGACAGGCTTGTGGTCACAGCATGGGCTGCCCCGTGGGCTGAAGGAGGCTCCTGCTGTGCTGGGCTCCTTCCAGCAGAGTGGGAGCCTCCTTCCTGCCTGGGGAGGGGGCTGCTCCCTGCCCTGATCCCTCTGTCTCCCCTCGAAGCTGCTCCTGGCAGGACACGCTGTCAGTGCAGCTATTCTTGG